ACTTCCCTTTGGTTTGGATCATTTGCGTAGATACGTGCAAAAATACAACAAATTTAAAAAGTACAGTATTTCTTTAATTATGATTTTTTAAGTATTGTATAGTATTTTTATTCCTATTGATTCTCACGCTTTTTGTTATACAGGCATTTGATGAATGCAATTAATCATCCGATCATGTTGACATTAGATGTAAGATGCAAGTATAGGCTAGAATGGTGTTTAACAAGAGAATAGGCAACTAGCCTATACTCGTATCTTGCATCTAAAATCAACAAGATTACATTCATCAAATGCTTGTATAACAAAAAGCGTGAGAATCAATATAATAAAAACACTATACGATACTTAAAAAATCATAATTAAAGAAATACTATACTTTCCAAAACAAAGGGAAATTTAGACCATTTGGACTTGAAGAGAGATTTAACCATACCACAGAATTTGTCAATGTCATCCCCCAATGTCTTCTCGTACCACTCAGGATTTACAGGTTTGCCCAACTTGGCATTTCCATTAACTAAGTAGACATTGTTTGCACAAATTTCTCCATGTGGTTGTCTCAATACATCTGAAGTATATGATGCCATTAAGTATATCCTTACAGAGTAAATGACCAAAAAAATTTGAATGAAAAAACAAAAAAACAAATGAATGAATTACTTGGATAAATAGCAAAGATGACATAGACATGCACTTACCCCAAGATGCCAATAAAAGACTTACTCAACCTTTCAAGATATTTAGAATCAATGAGAGGATTTTTCTTCACCCAATCGTGTAGAGTTCCTTCTACCACCTCTGTGAAAACAACAAAACTACTTTTGACACTTTCCAATTACTTTCAGTAAATACGGGTTGTAGTGACTCGTCGCAAAATCGTACCACCATTATAAATCTTTTGATTGTGACTCAAGGTGGTACACCACTTTCATACTATTTTGTGTACTTCCAAGGTAACCAATATACATGTTTGAATCCTCAATTTGTTTTCCTTCTAAAAATTGTATTTCAAATGCTTTAACAAGCTAGTCATATAATAAAAACAAAATATATGGATAAAAAGTTAGCTATAAGATAATATGGATAAAATATTCTACAAAATGGAGGTATAGGATAAAACATACTATGGTATCTGGATCAACAGCCATCTTAAATCAAAATCAGTAACTCTAAAATGGGGCAACTCTCTGTAACAGATTGGAATAACAAACCACAATAAATAGTTAACATACTTCTAGTGCTACCACTTAATCTCCTAAATCCAGGCCATTGACAAAGCCAACAAACTATAAGTACAATAAGGATATGAAGGCAATTAAATCTTCTCAATAACGCATACAATGACAAAAAAAATTAAAAGGCTCTGATTCAATAGACCGGCAAAGGATCTAGCAGTTTTATTGCAAAAATAACCACGTCAGTTCCCCACATCACCAACAGTACATGTAGCAGATGTGAACTCATAAAACTAAACTAACAAGTAACAAATTACTCTACTAAACAATAACTATACCACCAAAGTATAGACTAATGAATCCCATGAAAATGTTAGTGTCTTCAATTGTAATATCCCTACTGTTATCATCAGTTTTTCAAACTTGAGTGCACATACGAAGATGAATGCAAGCATGAACTTAACTTAGAGAATCAAAGCTAAAAGAATCAATATATAGTAAAGAAACTGCAGTGACTCGTCGCAAAATCGTACCACCATTATAAATCTTTTGATTGTGACTCAAGGTGGTACACCACTTTTATACTATTTTGTGTACTTCCAAGGTAACCAATATACATGTTTGAATCCTCAATTTGTTTTCCTTCTAAAAATTGTATTTCAAATGCTTTAGCAAGCTAGTCATATAATAAAAACAAAATATATGGATAAAAAGTTAGCTATAAGATAATATGGATAAAATATTCTACAAAATGGAGGTATAGGATAAAACATACTATGGTATCTGGATCAACAGCCATCTTAAATCAAAATCAGTAACTCTAAAATGGGGTAACTCTCTGTAACAGATTAGAATAACAAACCACAATAAATAGTTACCATACTTCTAGTGCTACCACTTAATCTCCTAAATCCAGGCCATTGACAAAGCCAGTAAATTATAAGTACAGTAAGGATATGAAGGCAATTAGATCTTCTCAATAACGCATACAATGACAGAAAAAATTAAAAGGTTCTGATTCAATAGACCGGCAAAGGATCTAGCAGTTTTATTGCAAAAATAACCACGTCAGTTCCGCACATCACCAACAGTACATGTAGCAGATGTGAACTCATAAAACTAAACTAACAAGTAACAAATTACTCTACTAAACAATAACTATACCACCAAAGTATAGACTAATGAATCCCATGAAAATGTTAGTGTCTTCAATTGTAATATCCCTACTGTTATCATCAGTTTTTCAAACTTGAGTGCACATATGAAGATGAATGCAGCTGCATGAACTTAACTTAGAGAATCAAAGCTAAAAGAATCAATATATAGTAAAGAAACCTGATGCATGATTGCACGGCTAAGAAGGTCAACTTACCATTCTGCACTAATGTTTCAAGCTAAGATAGTCCAAGTGATCATAGTCTTTATCTCAAGGTCAATTAGAAAAAATGGACACAAGGTCTGGAATTTAGTATTATAATTTAAAACAGTTAAAAGTAAAATATAAAACTCTCTTTCTTAGGTCCACATAGACACAAGTACATACCATATGTATTGATCGTATAGGGGGGAACTATTAGATCACCACTAGTCCCAAAAACTTAAGATGTTAGGAAATGAGCTTAATAATACACATCAAGCTCAAAAGCTTAAGTTGTCTGGAAATGAGCTCAACAATGTATATCAAGCTCTTCAATAGGGACAAGTGACTTTTAGAATGCTGTCATATATCAGCATCCATAGAGGAACAAAGGCCATTATATGGTTCCCATTCATCTTAGCACCCTTATCTTCATTAAAAATCTTGGAACCCTCTATTTCCAAGCCCCTTAGATTGGGTAAGCTTGGATGCTACCCGGGAAAAGTAAAGGGTTGTTCCAATCCTATTGAACAAAAAGATGTCAAACCTAAGGTAGAAAACAACAACATTATTCAAAAAGTGATGTAAATCAGAAGATGAAAACCAATTCCTTTGTGTAAAACTCTTTGCCAAAGTAAACCTCAATGGAACACATACACACACAACAAATACATGTATTTCAAATTGAAAATCAACCCATTAAAGAAAAGGAATGCAAAGGGCAAGTCATACAATATCTATTAAAAAAGGAATATCTCCATAAAATAAGAGAAAAGGGGGCAAGTCATATAATATCTGACTACATACATTCTATTCCCTCTCCTCTTAATATTGCAAAGAACCAATTGCAACATGATGCCAAGCTCAGTTGATGAAAAACCATAAGAAAACAAAAGAAATAAAATTCAAACCAATGGCTCAAATTTTCCATTGGCTTCCTTCCTCCGAACTTTCTCAACAACCCTTTTTGTCTCAATATTCAAATTTTATAGTAGATGTACTATTATATATCATGTGAGATTATATTGTATCCCATTGTAGTAGATGTACTATTATAGTAGATGTACTATTAATTAAAAAATATGATTGTTAATAATATTTTCCCTTAATTAAAAAATAACAAAATAAAAAGATGCATTTTATAATCCAAATTTTAAAAATAAAATAGTATATATCATCCATCTATTATTTGAAAATTGGTTAATGTTATATAAGATTTGGAGTAATTAGAGTTTGACGGAATAAAAAAAAATTTCGTCCAACTTAACTTGAAATAATACTCAGATGGATAAATATTTTCAAAATTTTCAATAATTAATTCTTTATTATAATTTTATCCCTAATATTGATTGGACCTAACTAATAATCCAAGTTGTTTTGTTAATTATTGTAACAATCATATTTAAACAATCATATGTATATATTTTTTCTCATTAAGAGAAAAGTGTAGGAACGGTGAACAATGCATGGAAACCCTCCTTAGATGTGATCATAGAAGCCCCCATCAGCAAGAAGCCAAACAAGAGGGACGAGCCCACAAGCACAGGAGATCCGCATGCCCTCCTTCAAGTACTCAACAACGTATTACAACAATATTTTTGTGGCAATTAACAGTTACCTATTGTTACAAAATAGTTTGTCACAATATGTCCTAATTTAATCTTTATTACAACAAATTTATTGTAATTCGTGTCAGTATTTAACTCCCACTGGCTTTAAAACTTCCTACCATGGAATTTGTGAACTATAAGGACAAAATAATTTTCATCACAATAAATTTACTAATTGCGAAAAATTAGTTTCGTAACAATAACCAAATTTTGTTTAGTGCAAAAACAAAGGTTATAAAAGCTTTAGACTAATCAACTGAGTGATAATCAAAATTACTACATCGAATTCTATCTGCCTATACAATTTCTTAGCTGCTAAGTTCGATCAAGTAGAAGATCAAATGGAGTATCTCAACAAATGGCTACAATGTCGGTGGCAGTATTTGTGATTGTATTTGTGTCAAGTGGGTGAGTGAAAATTTTCTTCTTTCTCCCATAATCCTATTCAATGAATTTAATTAAAATTTGATTACTAACTTTGTACACCCATTAGATAAGTTAGTATTTAAAACGGCAAATTTGCTGATTACTTCAAGCTAATTAATTACTTTTTTTGGCTGATGCATCAAATGTTGATAAAGCAAACAGGTTCATTAATACCTAGGCCGACAAGTTTGGCAGGCTTTTCACTCCACCACGAAGGCGATAACCTAAATGACCACAATTAGCATAATAATCAACGTTATACACGTCAAAGAAACTATAATTTAATCCGTGAAACCAATAAATTACCTCTTAACAATGAATCAAGCAATTAACTTCATGACAAATGCCTAATTAATTAAAAATTCCTGATTAATTAATTACTTTTTTGGCTGATGCATCAAATGTTGATAAAGCAAACAGGTTCATTAATACCTAGGCCGACAAGTTTGGCAGGCTTTTCACTCCACCACGAAGGCGATAACCTAAATGACCACAATTAGCATAATAATCAACGTTATACACGTCAAAGAAACTATAATTTAATCCGTGAAACCAATAAATTACCTCTTAACAATGAATCAAGCAATTAACTTCATGACAAATGCCTAATTAATTAAAAATTCCAATTGCAATAGCTAGGATCATACCAGTCATGAAGTTGAATGACGAAAGAAAATTCAAAACATTAATAAGTAGCCTTTGGATACTGGCTTACAGAATGAACACCAAGCATAAGTGTGTCAGTTTACTAACAAAAAAATAGTGAAGAACAATAATACTTTATCACGTATTCGGTGATATGAAAACAGTTTCTTATCGGATTCTTATAATTTTTAATTTCAAAATTAGTGTGTCAGCTTCTTAAAACAATTATTGTTGTTATACTCTCTCTTTCTTATTACTGTGAATTAGGTGTCCTGCTTCTTTTGTATTTGTACAGATTTTTAGTATTTACTATTTACAAAACCAATAATATAACAAAGAAGCATATGGAACATTCTTTGTTGGAAGTCACTGGAACTAATTTTCAACTAGGACATTTGTTAAGTGGGAAAAAAATTTAGCTAGAACCATAAGCGTAATTTTTTTTCTTTATGTATTAACGTTTACTTTGTTGGGCATATTTGTTGGGTTGAGAAGGCTTCAAATGCCTAAGCAAAGGAGTGGGAAGCCCTAATGCAATCAAATGGGAAGTATGTCAAGATAGGCACCACGAAACCACAATGTAGACTTTTGTATGACACATTATTAAATTAGCTCAGATAACTTCAAAGGAAAAAAGTGATAGCTTTTGACATTTGATGTCTAAATGGAAGAACCAAGAAACAATGACATGAAAGACAGAAATGGTGGTTTTTAATGCTCCATTGTTGTCTTCTTAGTTCTCTGGGTTGTTTTTTTTTTTTTTAATGTTGTAGAGGCGAGGCGAGGCGAGGCAAACATAACCACTCTGTTGCTACTTGCTAGTTACATGTTTCTTTGTTGTGCAATTCTATAACTACATATAAGGAGGAATTGCATGCGAACCGGAGAGAGAAATACAAATATATACCATCAAGGAGAACGACCAGTTGCTTCTTTCCTGGACCAATCTTTTTTCTCTTTTGATACTCAGACTTCCTCTTTGATATTCTCTCTTCAGTCGGCCATGGAGACAGGGACTCGCAGTAAAAGATAAAAAAAAACAAAAAAACACACACCCACAAAAGGTGGGGTAGGGTTTCCTACCACTAAATTCTCGCCCAAAGAGAGGGGTAGGGTTTTCCTTCAATTACAACGGAAAAAGGCTTCCACTCATCAAGTTCACCTTTGGGGGGCCTTTCGCATGACCCATTTTGATAATATGATCATTCGTTCTTTTGGCCCATTTTGATAATCTGATTTATTTATTCTTTTGATATTTATATGTAAATTATTCACATACAAAATTTATTTTGTTCGATAATTTTAATCATATTTAATTACTTATCGTTTATTTATTTATTTTTTTCTAAATAAATGATGAAAATACATAGTTATAATTACCAAATATCTGATTTTTTTAATTTATAGTCTACATACAAGAAATTAGAAGTTGAATGATTCATATCATTGAAATAGACCCCAATGACTTGACTAGATAGTCCAAATCATTTATGAGAATTGGATACAAATCCTTCCCATCATAACCGGCCTTTTTGGTTGTTAATCTATTCTATTATATAAAACCTATGAATAAATTAGTGTAAATTGTCAAAAGAAAAAAAATTTCCAAAGTAATTCTAAACTTGATAATTGTTCCTCTCATATTTAACTACTTCAAATATAAGTGTCATAATTATGAGATCTAATTACTTTAAACAATTGTCATGATACACACGTTATGTGTGTACCCTTAATATTATAATATATAATATAAAGCTTACAATTAAATTAGTGCAGACATGTCATACATATATATATATATTAAAAATGCCCACAAGAGTCAGCTATGCTATTATTCAAATTTTTTTAAAATATTTTTTCAACTGCCTGGTAACCCACATGATTTTTTTCAACCACAAATTATGTGCTCTCAGCCTTCTAGTTATTTATAAAATACTATAGCTTGGAAATTTTTTAGCAAACTCACAACCGTTTTTGAAATTGCAAGATAGATCCTCAATGGCTCAAGTTAAAATAGCTTTGTCAAAATTATTTTTTGGCTTACTACAATGCACAAAACTTATTTTTTTGGTTATACCATTCTAATAGGGACTTGCCATTTTGGCACAACCAAATGCCAAATTCAAATTTGGGTTGTAAATTGTTCTAAATTTGTGTTCAAATTTGGGTTCTAAATTGTTCGAAAATTTTGTACAATCTATAACAATTTAAATTTGGAAATTAAATTTGGAAAGCTGAGAAAGTTCTTTATTGAGTTTTTGTAATTTTTCTCGAACTCAAGACAACCTTGTAAAAATATTCTGTACACTTTCTAATTTTTTTTTTTTTTTTTTGAAACCGATATTTCAAATTGTGTTTTTAGATTAAGGTGAAATGATTTAGATGTGGTTTGGTAACGTTTACATTTTATTGTTTTTTATTTTAGGTAAAAATGAAAACAAAAAACAAATTTGACGTACATGTTTGAAAAAACTTGTTTTGAAAAAAAGTGAAAGAATTGGTTTGCAAGAGGTAGTTGTAGACGGTTGAAGATGATGGCCAGATGTGGTTGTTCGCCTCCAAAGGTGTTGGCCAAAAGTAATTGCCATTGGTGGGATGTGGTTAGTGGTGGCCAAAAGTGATTGCCAATAGTGAGAGGTCACGGTCGAAAGTGGTTGACGGTCGGAAATAATGGCCGCTCGGTCATCTAAAGTGCTAGTTAAAGCTTGTTTCTAAAAAGAAGTGGTGACCGAAGGTGGTTATCACAAGTGGGAGGTGATTGGTGACCAAGGGAAGTGGTGGCTGAAAGTGATTGGCGGAAGAGGCCATTAACAATGGTGAGTGGTGGTAATAATGAGTAGTGGGTGATGATTGGAAAGGGTGGGAGAAAAAAGAAGAAATGGGGGGCAGGAGGGGAAATTAAATTGTGAAACTAGTTTTTTTTGTGTTTACAAAATTTTTATTTACAATTTCAAAAATTCTGAACAGAAGAAAGACAGAAAATCTAAATGGGGATCACAACTGTGTTTGTTGGCAAGAGCATTTGCACTGAAAACATATTGACATACATCCCTATCTAACTTGGAAATTTTTTTTTGAACACGTGATGTTATTTATCGTCAAATTTATTTTATCATTTTATCATAATTGTCATGTATGATTGAAATATTTTAGAGCAAATTACACTGTTAGTTCTTGAATTTTGTCCACCGTGTCATTTTAGTCCCCACACTTTCAATTGGCTTGATTTTAATCCTTGATTTTTTATATTGTGTCAATCTGGTTCAATTGATAATACTGATTGTGATTTTTGTCAAAAAATGATTACTAAGTTGTTTGAGCTTAATTTACTGAGTTAGATAAATTTATAATTTTACTCTTAAAAGCATGATACATATTCTTATGTGCACATTTTTCATAAAAAAACCAATAACAATTATAATCAATTGGATCAAATTAAGACAATATCATAAATTCAGGGCCAAAATCGAGCCAATTGAAATTATAAGGATCAAAATAACATGAGTGTCAAAGACTACCGGTGTAATTTGCCCAATATTTTATCTCAAGTTTTCATCTTCTATAGGGGTGTAAGTGGTTTGGTTTGGTCAGAATTATGAAAAAAATTAGCACCAAATTGAATCTTTCAGTTTTGGTGGTTGAAGAATCGAAATAAACCGCATATTACAATTCAATTTTGTTGGTTTTGTCAATTTGGTGTCGAAGAAGGATTCACATGAAATTTTAAAATATTTTATAAAAACTTGTAAAATTCCACATTGGGAATAAATGAAGAAAAATAGTGAAAATGTCTCCCTCTTAGTTTTTATTACAACAATTGAATTATTAATCACTTAAAAAATAAAAGTTTTTCAATATAATATTTCAATTGATTCTGTTTATATTAGTGTAAAAAATTTCAAAATCAAAACAGACCACCCATATGAAAAACAGACATAAAACCAAAATTTTGATCAATTTTGAGCAATCGTTTCGGTTTCATTGATTTTTCTTACACCCCTAACCTTTCAGTTTATATTAATGTAAAAATTTTCAAAATCGAAATAAAATACCAGTATAAAAATGCATCGAAAACTTAAAATTCGGTTGATCTTGAGTGGTCAGTTTGGTTTCATCGATTTTTTTTACACCCCTAATCTTTCATGTGACATGGTAAGTTCTACTATTTTTTTAATATGATTTTTTTTACACATGTACATGACTTTTATAGTATAAATACAAGAGGTGAAATGGAGTCGTTGATAAATAATAGCTCTCTCATTTTATTTCACGTTTTTATATGTAACAATAGTGTGTATGCATAGGATTTATTATATTTATAAAATAATAAAACATACCAGACCATATGAGAAAGCAAATTGTTATTCATACAAAATTTATCACTAAAATGACGTGGCAATGACATTTTTGCAATAAAACGTCATTTAAATGGGGAATTTATTTTAAAATATAAGTCCCAATATAGAAACAGTAAGGTCCCAATTTATTTAAATGAAGAAACAGATTTGAAACAGTAGAAAATCCAACAAATTCAGAATCAAACCCACATATCAGAATCAAACCAATTTATACAATTTTTTTGCCAAATTCACAAATTTCAGAATAAATTTGACAAACCCAAATTCGGTTTCTCTTTTTTTTTTTTAATCATTTATCACCAAATCAGTTGATCCAAATGGAGTGAAAAAATCAGATGGATATTATCACAATAAACCAAACCAAAATCAGATGGATGTTCTTTGAAGATCAAAATAAATATCAAAATAAAATAAATGGATGAACAAAAATAGTTGGATGAACAAAAATTAAACCAAAAATCAAAATAAATAATTACGAAAAATCGGAGAGCACAGACCTGAGTTGTTTGAAGATCTGGAGATGCTTGAGTTCTTCGAAGATCCGGTTTGAAGCCATCGCGAGACCTGAGTTTGAAAAATCGCGATCACCTCCACATCAACAAACAGAAAAATAAACAAAAAATCAAAGCATATATATATATATATACATGATGTGTATATAGACGGAGAGCGAGAGAGAGAGAGACAGATCGGAGAGTAAAGAGGTCGAAGAGTATAGAGATCGGTGAAGAGAGGGAAGACAGTGCGAGAGTGAGAGCGAGAGTGAGAGAGAGACAGATCAGTTTGAGGAGAGGGAAGATAGTGCGAGAGAGAGAGAGATCGGTTTGAGATCGGTTTGAGGAGAGTGAGAGGGAAGACAGAGTGACTGGGAGAGGGAAGACGGTGTGATGAGAGTGAGAGGAGAGGGTTGGATGATTCTAGAGAATCATCTCAACCATTGAACATTTTAGACGTGGACGGTTGTGATCTCCCATCTCTGCCCTGTAAAACAGCCGTTGTGTTCTGTTTGGTTTTAAAAAAAAAAAAAAAATTAATAATAACAGTTATCTTTAAACGGCTATGTTTTTTTAAGGAACAGTAATATTTACGAAATTTCCTATGAAATGATTGTTTATTTTTATTTTTATTTTTTTGTAGTGATATGTTTTTTGGTGAGGTGAATTATATTTAAATTTTTTTTTCTAATTTTTCAAAAAAAATTCATTTTTTATATTTGTCTAGTTTGAAATAATACAAATATATAATTTTTTTTTACAAACAGATAAAAAAATGTCACAAAAGATAAAAAATAAACAAAAATAAAATTACAAAAAAATCTATATCCAAACAACACCTACAAATTTGGAGAAAAAAATTAGTTAAGATTTGCTAAAATAACAAATGACCATTAGAGTACCATTGCTATAATTTGACAAAATAACATTATTTATTGTCAAATTATAGCAATAACAATAGCATTATAGCAACAATGGTTGTCGTTCGAAATCAGTTTATTATGTAACTAAGTCAAACTTAAAAGTACAAATTATTGGACTTAGGCCTCGTTTGGGAACAGGCTAATTTAGTAACTTTTTGGCTATTTGGCTAAAAAGGTAGGTAAAAAAAACTTGTATGTTTGGGATGACTTTTTGGCTAATTACGAAAAGATGTGCAAAAAGTAGAGAGAAAAGAGAATCTTTGACTTTTTGGTATGAGTTGTTAGCTTTTTGGCTAATTTAGTAACTTTTTGGCTAATTGGCTAAAAAAGTAAGTCCCCAAACGGGGCCTTAGTCTAACAACTAGGAATTGTTTGATTCGCTAAAACGAGTTAAAATAATTATTCCTTAGACTTTAGTATGAAATTATCATTCTTTTATAATGTGAATGATGATTCAATTTAGGGTGTATTTTTTATTATTTTTTTGGTGAATCAAAGGTGATGATAGATATTTTAATAGAATAATCATGTTATTCCATTTCATTCCAATAGTGAAGCAAATAAAGCATTATCCAAACAAGACACTGCTTACCCAAATAATGACTGGTATCAATTAACTACGCAGTAGAATAATTTTCATTAAGAACAATAAAATATTTTCCTTGCTTGGCCAATTACACATTACACACATACAAAGAATCCAAAGTAGCCCATACAATTTTTAATCTACGGTTAAGGAGGTCAAAGTGTTGCATGCATAAAATCAAGGAAATGACGTCGTCACTTAGGTTATATGGGAAATCAATCGTTATAAAAAGGATTAGGTATCAACTTGTCAGGTAAGCAGCAATTGAAAAAAGAAGGGATTTAATTATGGTAGGCTCAGAAAACTAGAATTTCTTCACATCTAAGGAAAATTCTACAAATTAGTACTCGTTGCATGTGTAGGATTGCTTTATAAAAACCACAGAGATGTTGATTAAGATAAGATAAGTTAAACGTCTAATTTGACTCAAATTTCACTTTAGTCCTTACCATTTTAATTTAAATAATTTGATTCCTGCCTTTTAAATCCGATTTCAATTTGATCCTTCCATTCAAATTAAAAACTAAAACTTATAATATTGTAATACATGTCAGTCTCGCAAGGAGTGCATGAAAAAATTAACAGTTTTTTAGACAAAAGGACCAAATTAAAACTGAACTTTAAGTGTAAGAATCAAATTGAAATTTGAGTCAAACTACAAAGGTGAAAAATATAATTCCCCCTAAAATTTAAAACTCCCAATATATCCAAGTCAAACATTGCTAAGTACTCGTAAGACAATAATCAACCAAACTAATTTCACAAGAAGTAATGCAACAGTGAAATACTTCTAGTTAACTAAATTAAAAATCCAGTGTAGCAAATTATGTTTTACAGAAACATTAATTCGAGCAAGATAATTATATGTTGTAAATAGGATTGAAGTCTCCCCAAAGCTGTTCTTTTGAAACATATAGCTGATAATCCCAAGACTTCAGATGCTTTGATTCGTGCCACTCAACTTCTAAACTTCATCTTCATCTGCACTTAGAAGTCAGAATCTTACAAAAACTTTTACAGAAAAGCAAAAGCAGAGACATCTAATTTATGCTACGAAACACATTTATAAACCAAATCATCTCCAAACAACTAGATTAGCTAGCTTATAAAAAAGTTCAAACCACAAAAAGGAAAAATTGTACGAATTTCTACATGAACAATACTAATTAAAATCCCACAGGTTCCAAATTCCAAACATAGGTAAGACGAACACAAAAGAGCAATTTATGAATCGTGTACCATGGGGCACATAATGGGAACGTTCAGAAAAAGAAAAAGAGATAGGAGGAAAAAAGAAAAAAGAAAAAAGAGTTTAAAAAAATTTAAAATTGAGGTTTTATTTTTTTATTTTATCAAATTGTTCGATGACATCAAAATTTCCCGTAACTTGATGCCCCTCCAACTTCCGGCAGTCAAGACTCGAGACTGGACACTTAGTCTGACCAAATGATTAGTCCACTAAAATGCACCACATTTATGATCTAAGATATTAAACCCTACGTGTAACCAAATCTTTAAAAAAATTGTATGTGCTGGAATCCTTTTTTTAGATTCTCCAATCTACAAGTAAATTCCACAACAAAACAAATGATGGGAAGCCAACCTAACAATAGAAAGTCCATTTACTAGTGATAAATAAATCAAATGCACCAATGTTCAAAATAAGCACATTAAACCTGAACGTCCCAAAGATAACCTAACAATGGAATTCCTTAGGCCTGTTTTGTGATAAATAATACAAATGCACCGATGTTCCACTGTTTGGTTAGTTGTGTGCATTGGAGTAAGGATTGGTGCCGCATCATACCATCAGTGACAACCCCTAAAACCCATGCGGGGTTGGCTTTCCCATAGTGTATTGGTCTAGTAAACCATAAATACGGGATTAGGGACTAGTTGCCTAGGTTAAAGACACAATTGTGTTCTAGTTAGACTCAATAGGGTCTGTCTAGGTTATCTAGATGTTTCATTGATTTTTGGGTGGTATTGATTTTACCTTGAATTTTATAATATTTGAGCAATTGATCCTTGTATGTGAATTTTAAGATAATTGTGTAATATGGCATCATCCTTATTAACATTTAATATATTGGCTACTCATTTTCAATGTCTTGGATGATTATTTAGTGAGCTTTAATCTTTGCTCGTCCCTTACAATTACAGGTACTCCACCACTGTAAGCATAAAGTTGGGTGGCCATGCCATATATTCAAATCTTTTACAGAGTTATACATGTATACCCATGCTTAATTGTATTTACCCTTTTAAGTTGCCATTATTTTGGAGGCTGGCGTGTAAACCTGACTAGTTTGCTTACAGACTTATAAGATGAGTTAGATCACAAGCTTGTGTTATTTTAATGATATGTAATTAATATATTTGGGCTGTGAACACACTCATGGCTTTTTGCAACCTAACTCTAGAGGTGTTACGTTCGTAATTTAACTCAAACTATTATCGATGCCTTAGCAATTTATTCCAAGTACTTGGCATATGCAATCAAACTCATCCAGATATTTGGAAATTGGAGAAAAGTACTCCTTTATTTAAATTTCTCCCAAATTTGTTTTTGTCATTTGAGTCATTATTGACAAACTAGCAATATCGACCTTGAGTTTCCTAGTCGTGTCATCTTAGTCATTATTGGCATGCCAGAGCTAATTTTGCTCATTCTGTGAAAGCGAAACCTCTTGTCCAACGTGGACCTAAGGCAGTTGAATATTGGTGAGAATGGATTTTGTTAGAATGGATTGATGTTAGAATGGATTTTGTTTTGGGGCTTCCATATACACAATAAGGTTATGATTCCATCTCTGTGGTTATGGACAAATTTTCTAAAAGGTCCATTTCATTGCATCGAGCAGACAATAGATGCTATAAATGTGGCACAATTGTATTTTTGAGAAGTCTATTGCCTACATGGGCTACCACAATCCATTGTGTCAGACAAGGATAGCCGATTTCTCAATCATTTTTGGAGCTATTTATATAATACATAGCTTGACTTTAGTAGTGCCTATCATCCTCAAAGTGACAGTCAAATGAGAGTTGTTAATTGTTCCTTGGGAAATTCATTGCTGTGTTTGGTAGGGGATCATTTGAAATCATTGGACTAGAAATTGCACTTGTAACCCTTCAGAAAATCGAAGTTTTGATTTTAGTCCCTTTTATGTTAACTATGGTTATCAACCACGAGCTCCATTGGACTTGGCACCTGTGCCAAACTGAAAGCGTATCAATGAAAAAGCAAAAAATCTTATTAGCAACCTATAGGAAGTCCACAAATTTTGTTTAGGTTGTTCTCACAAAAGACAAGTTTTCTGCCTACAAGCACAATAAACTGGCAGCCAGAAAATTTGGGCCATTAGAGATTGTGAAAAGATCTCATTTGCACAACCGACGTGTTCTACATCAAACATCTCATTCCATTAGGAGTGTTCATAAAACTAAATCACTCGAGCAAACCGAGCCAATCCAACCGATTTGACACCATTTTGGACGATTTCAATGGTTGAACAGTCAAAAATGGATTGAAATTAAGAATTTTGTGCGGATTTCGATCGAATTATGAGCGTATTAATTGAAAAACTGCATAAACTGATCTGACTGAATATAATTATAATTAAATTAATAATGGTGTTTACACATGTTGCCTTTTAATGGTGGATTTTGTTTCCCAAGAACCTTAGTTGTACACACACAACATT